TATCAGATTTTTTGATATAAAAAATTTTTTAAAAAATAATTTTTTGGATTTTTTAGAGCTATTAATAAATGTACTACTGGTAGTACAAAGGCCTAAATCCTATCCATTAATGGTACAAAGTTTCCTTCATTATAAAGTTTTCTCCAATGGTAAATCACCTCGCTTAATAAGAGATACTAACACACTTCTTGAAGCGAAATGAAGTTTTAAGTGTCGAAAAATTTTTTAATGCTTGAAGCGTTTATTTTGAGAGCTTATTTGACAAATATGTGCAAAATGCAACGAGTTTCAAAAAGAAACTCGCAGACAATAAGCATGAGTTCAAGATAATGGTGTGTTTTTGATTTCTAGTATTACATAAATCATATACCTGTTAATAGTCAACGCAAGTGATGCAAGATAACTATCGCGTTGAATTTTTTTTTTTTCAATCTTCTAGATCCAAGTCCTTAAATGATACCAAATAATTAATCATGATCATCTTCTTCAATTCCAGGGCATAATTGCTCTAGCTCTTCAACGCTACTGTATTCACATCCACACCAAAAACAATAATTATACTTTTCTCTCATGTATTTTAAAATACTGTCAAGCTTTTCCGCTGACTATTATAATGTGAACCAACAAAAAAAAAGGCATAAGTATTGTGCATGGTAAAAATATGAATAAATGGAAAAAGACCAACCGATAATTTTTCAAATTCCGAGGGTTCTTCATCACTTTCATCATTTTCTTTGCTTAGCCAGAAAATATTGTCCTTTTTAAAGAAATTTTAATTATAATAACAATAAATAAGTCACAATTACAAAACATTATTTATTTTAATGTTACCATTATGCCCTGTTAAACAAATATTCAAATTAGATCAATCATAAAAAGTGAATCAGAGAAAATAGTAAAACAAATAATTCACACCTTTCTCGTATCTAAAGTTTCACATGCATTTTGCGCTTTATTCAACTGTGTGATAACCTTTTTTTCTACTTGTTCTTTGCGCACACGTTCGATAAATGATTCCTCGCTAATTTTTGCTCGTTTAGCTTTCCTAGCAAGTTCCGTTTCAGCTTTTTGCTTAAGCTCAGAAGACCTTCCTAGACCCAATTTATCTTTTGATGAATCATAGGTTCAGAATATGTTATTCGTACTAGCGCCTATTCGAAAAGTAGAACAAATCAACAATTGATTTGATAACAATACCAGATTTCATTTCGATGTTTATTGGCTCAGTGATTCCACTAGAATCCTTTCCCAACGGTTTTCCTATTTCATACCCCATTTTTTTTAATAGTTTTAAGATTAGAAAAGGCTCAATTTTTAATTTGCAATGAGGTACATATTTTTACTGAAACTGCCAATTTAGCAACTTTAGAACTACTTTAAAATAACTATAAAGTAACTATATACTGTAGTGCACTGACCAAAGTATCCGGGTTTAGTACAATCTAATCAAAAAAAAAATAATTATAAGATGTCCGTGCGTGATGGGTATATTGTATAGGGTAGCTTGTATAGATATTTGACACAAAAATCAATATGCGAGTGGTGTAAAAAATATTAGCCAAAATATCTATATGTTATATAAAATATCTGGGTATTTTAATTAGGAATACTAAAAATAGATATTTTGATTAGTGTACTATGGTAGTTTTTATTTTTTATTTATTTATTTTTTTTTTTAACGTCTACCCTCTTGGGAGCTAGGATTTTTATTCAAGTATATATAGCAAAGGGTTCTCTAGGGACCCCCTACATTAGAGAGTATATACTAGCCACACGTACACTTTTGGTGTCTAATTTAAGTAGTTCACCTGTACATCATACAGATTCTACACTAGATGCCGTACCTGTAACCCAACTATGGGTGTTACCCATTTAACTTCTCTGTAATGTAACTAAACTTGTGTCATCAAAACATCTCCGGTACATTTGTCAGTCAAGAAGTCTTAGATACTTCATCTATTTCCTTAGGACTAATTTATCCTCGAGGGATCGACACTAGAGCAGTCCGAACCCACAATCCAGATTTACATAGATTCAGTAACTTACGTCGAGTCCGAAGACAAGTACTTGCGAGCCAAAGCCACTACCGTTACCTACTACCCCTTTGTAGAGTTCACCCAAACCCCAGTACTCACTTTACAGACTGTCAACCGTATCCCTAACTATCCCAAACTACCAATCCAGATGGCCCAGAAGGGATTTTTTTCCTCTGATATCCGCAACTAAGCAGATCCTTTTTCTCCGGTTCCGACGGACTCAGTTCTGGCGGCCTGGTTGGTGGGGTGCCTTGTCAAACACCGGTCTTCATTCAGTTTTTGCTAGTTCTCCGGTGGCAGTCTTTTATGTAGTACCGTCGAAGATCTGTGCTACTTCTCTACTCGGGTCTTGCCAAGCGAGCGTCCATCTTTCTGGTTCCTTGGATTAACACGATCCGGAACATTTCGTGTAATTCATATATTATGTGAATGCCCTATGATCTTCCAATCTTGTTGGTACTACCAAGGTTACAGAGATCCCGTTTCAACCGATCGTCGAAAGACAGTAGCCGTCATACAAGTAGAATATTCGAAATTCGTCGCCAGTGGGTTTCAAACCCCCTACCTGGCCGACATATCGCTTGGGGGTGTGACAACTTAATCACTTCACTAAGTCGCCACACCCATACTATGGTAGTTTTTATAATAGTTATAGCTTTATATTTATTATATATTGTATTAACAATATATTTATTATTATATTGTTATTCTTATAATTATATAGTAGATTTTATCTAAAGCCAACATATTTTATATATAGGTATCAATTTTTTAGCTATAGTGTAACTTAATTATCCAATTAAAATGTAGCAAAACTTAATATAATTTTAAATTTTATTAATAAAATTTAAATTTTTGTTAATAAATTCAAATTTTGTTATGTTTTTTTATATATAAGTATTAAATTTTTGAATCATATATAAATTTAAATTAATATAATTTTTAAAAACAAAAGATATTTAATAGACAATACATCTATCACAAAAGACTCCAAGAACAAAGAAAAGCTTGACAAAAGCAGCATAACAAGATAGCCTTAAAGACATTAGTACAACAATTTAAAAAATCCATCGAGTTTATCACAGCAGCCCAGCATGAAACAAGAAAGAAAATTAAAGAAGCAAGGGAAAGAGAGATACAAACTCTGCGAATCCTGCAAACAAAGATGCAACTCTTGCAAAAGGAAAAACAAGTAGCTGAATTAAAGTTGAAGCTAGAATTAGACTGAAATAGAAAACTTCAGAAACAAAGAAATATTCAACAAAAGCAAAACAATGAAGTAGCTTTAAGAACTTTGGTCATAAATTTTAAAGTATCAGTTGAAGCTGAAGTAGCAAATCAAGAAAGAAAAGAAAAAAAGGCCAGAGAAAAAAAAGAAAAGAAAGCTAAAGGACAAGATGTCAAAAATATTATTGAATCCAAAGCCTTAGACAAAATTCAAGAAAAGTCAAGGCCTATAATCAGAGTAACAAATATAACAGAATAGCTGATTGAAATTATATACCAAATAAGTATTACAAATTTACAGTCCAATAATAGAGCGTAGAAGATTAAAAAGAAAAATCTGCTAGCAAAGTGGGTACGGTATCTAAAAGACCAAAAAAACATCGATAGAAACTCAATTCAAGACACAACAGCATACAGACAAAAGGGCCCAAAAATTGAAAAAAAAAAGGATACTTTATTAGAGATATTAGAGAAAGTTTTTGTGGAAGTTTTCAAAAATCAAAAAATATTTACAG